CTTAGCACATCCTGAAAGTTTGAAGGAAATCAGTCCAAAACTGTGAGTTGGACAGGTGCAAAAAGAAAATTGAAATTTGACCATGACCTTGTACCGGTTTTTCTGACCTGGTGACCTGACCCAAGGTCACCCGGACCTGAAATTTTCAGGTCATATGTAAAAAGGTTGCCCCATAAGCTGTGCCAAATTTGGCGGCGCTGCGCGCCGCCGTTTTTACGCTATCTTCGAAAAACCTTAGGGGGGGGGGGGTCGCATCGACCCCCCCCCCTGCCAGGGCGAGGGTTAACCCTCGCCGGCCGAGGGGGGGGGGGCGGGTGCCGCCCCCCCATAGGGTTTTTTCGCGATAGCTCCGAACACGCTGGCGATAGAGAGCTGAAACTTGGCATACCTGACCTTTGATCCAAGCCGGATCTTTTGACACCAACCGCATTTTTGGGTCAGGTCAGGTCACTGACCTATGACGTCATAAGTGAACCTCTGCACGGTCTTCAGATGTCGCAACTTCGCAACGCCCTCACTGCAGAGGAGATGTCACAGGGAAATGAAACTTGCAGGATCTAGTATCCATTATGAGTCCCACAACTTGTATATCTTGGATTTTTCCTAAAGGTCATATGAGGTCAGGTCATTTTCGTGACCTCACCATTATAAGTCAATGGGGAAAAATGAAAACTGCTATTCTGGCGCCGGGAACGATCTCCAACTACCTCAAGCACACAGAATCGTGATTTGATGCACTCCTTGCAAGGTTAGATGCGTCACTTTTGCAATGTTGACCTTGCGTGACGTCATTTATGACGTCATCAAGGTCATATTAGTTTTTCGTCAATAACTCTTGATCAAATTGAGCTAGCGAGTCGGGAAAGCCACCAATGGACTCAGGAAGACCTGCCGAATCGAATGATATGCAACATGACCTCTTTCGACCAACTTCGTGACCTGGGGGTGCTGACCTGACCTTGACCTGAGGTCAACACCCTAAGTTGACCTGACCCGGACAAAAAGTATATCATTCGACGCGCCTGAGGAGACGAACACGATGCTGCCAAAATCGGCGCTCTGCGGCCGTTTTTGCGAAGTTATTCACCAAAAACTGAACCGTACCTTGGGGCACTTGACCTGACCTCAGAGGTCACCGGTTGACCTAGGACCTTAAAATCGGGTACCAATCTCTGCGTCTCGTAACGGCGCACACGCTCGTTTTTTCCGCGACGCGCTAGCTCCACCAAGGGCGAAACGGCGAGGGGGGGGGTCGTACCCGCCCCCCCCCCCCTCGGCCGGCGCGTATGTAGAAAACCAATAGGTCCGGCGAGGGTTAAATACCAACTACAATAAATCCTTGTGTGCCACCCTTCTCAATCATTGTCTATTTCAATTTGCATATTTACCTTATGGTATCTACATGCATTACCTACACTGACATTTATACAACTTATTGTACCAATTCTCATAATACTCTAGTCCGTGCTGTTTCCTGAGGTTCTGTCCGGCAACAAGCCTAGCTTAGCCGGACGGAGCCAAGGGTTTCGGCAATAAAAACGACCTTGCAAGAACATGACCAGGCATGCTTTTCCCCACCTGAGTATGAATGCGTATTGCGTTAATTACTAGCACTGGTAAAAATGATAGTTGCTTGTGTTGGTATAGTGGGCAGTCATTTTGCTTCACTCGGCAATGACTACTTTCCTCCTTTTTGGCGTACTTACTAACATTTTTTAGTAGTATTGCATGCGTTATATTCTATTTATCTTTTCCACTTCTTAGCAGGGAGTGCCGCGACTTGATCAATTTATTATGTTACCTGGTGTTAAAGTGCGGTCTCTGTGCGTCGCCGGGACTGTGGGAGGGGGCACTCCTGGTTACCTGATCATGGGTAACGGACTATCTTAGAAAAAAAATGTATTCATATATGTAAAAATAGATTCAGAGTAGCTTGTTCTTATTTGATAAGTTTCATCCATAAACAATGTTGTTCGGTTATTAACCCTCGCATGTGTGCGGCGTTTGCCAGCTTCTAATGTGTAGGGGGGGGGGTCGGTTGGACCCCCCCTTGCCGTTTGGCCCCTGATCGAGCTAGAGCTTCGCGGAAAAAACGAGCGTGTTGCCCGTGACAAGAGGAAGCCGATGATACCCAATTTTAAGGTCCTAGGTCATTGGTTGACCTTCCAGGTCAGGTCAATGACCCAAAGTCGGGAAAATCGGGACCTGTTAGAATGTCGTAAAGTGTGGCTGCTAAGGGGTTTTTCGGGGTGCTGATCACGAATATCGTGTTAGTTTTGATCACAGATGATGTCTTGAAGCATTTAGACCAGGTCGGGTCAGGTCAGGTCAGGTCAACCAGTAGGCGTCGTGACGGGTATTCGTAGTACGTGTCAACCGCCTCTGACAGCTTCGTAACATGTTACGAAGTCACCAAAACTACTTCGTAAATGTTCAAATGGTTGCTAAATTCGAATTCAGCTCCAAAAACTAGCCTAGAAACATGTAAAACTCGAAAAAGTGACCCGAGGTCACCCGAGGTCACCAAAGGTCAATGACCTGACCTGACCTTCAGGTGACCTTGACACACACGGGAGTAACATCAAATCACATGTTTGAACGTTTGAAACCACGAAAAGCTTGCAAACACGCGGCTAGTGCGAGCCGACATACGCGAAATCGCGATTCCGGCCAAACATGGTCTCGGAAAAGAGGTCACAGGTCAAAGGTCATTTGGGTCAGGGTCATGAAATTTTCAGGGTAGGTGTAAAATTGATCAATGCGAGGGTACTGAAAGTTTCGTCGCGATCGGGCGCTTTTTACGCGAGTTATTCGCGAAAAACCATGGGGGGGTCCATCCGACCCCCCCCCCTACACATGCGAGGGTTAACCCATCATCACTTGAACTCTTGATTTTTCGCTATGAACCCTCGAGACCTTATCTTTGCATCTCAGAGGGATGCAGAGATAACAAATTCTTATCTTTGCATTTCAGAGGAGTGCGAGATAGAAATATCCCTGCATTGTAGACCCAATGGGAAATAAACCTCAACTAGAAAGATAACGAAATCGCCTATCAGAACAATCTAAATGCATGGAATATGTTTTGGACAGAATGGCTACCTGGTTTCTTCAACACGGTATGAAAGTAAATGCATCCAAGACTGAACTAATCATCTGCGCACTGCGGTGATCGTAAGCAACTGTCGCGAATTGATATGATGCCTGCAATATCTGTCATGGGCGAGTGTATGAAAACCAGCTCGCATCTTAAAAATCTAGGTGTTGTCATGGATCAGAATCTATCTTGGAGTCATCACGTAAAGTTAATCTCACAGCGATGCTTTGGGCACTTTCGTTGGGTTATTCCATGCTAGACATGTGTTGCCTCATGATGTGATGCATAAGTTCGTAGATGCGTTAGTTATTTCACACGTCAGGCATTGTGTTCAAGTGTATGGAAGCTGTAACGGTGAGCTACTGGATCAGATTCAAAAGATATTCAACTTTGCGGCCAGACTGCTTTCAAATAGGCGTAAATATAACCACATTACTGACGTACTTCGAGATTTCAAATGGTTAGATTAATGGGACTTTATCGCTTACTTTGATCTTTGTATGTTGCATCAAGTCATCGCGACCGATTTTTCCATCATCTCTGTCATCCCATTATCGATTTAATCATCAGACTATTGATCAAGTGACGCGGCAATCAAGCCATCTGTATCTTGAGCGCCCCAGGAACAATAATGTAAAAAGATCATTTGCTTATAGTTCTGGCCATTTATTTAATGATTACCATGACGGGCTGTGTGATATGAATGTTACCACACATACTTTCAAAAAGCGCGCCAGGGAAGTAGCTTCGTCAATGTATCCGTTCTTGACGTTATGATCGTATTATGCATTTTAAGTGTTGTATTTTTACCATGTATGGCCATTTACACCTTTGTTTTACATATGTCATGTTTTCTAGTGTATGGCAATGACCTAAGAATAGCCCTTCAGTGTGGATTGGTCAGCTTACATGAATACAAGTTTCAAGCGTTCAAACATGTGATATGATGTTGCTCCCATGCATTAGAGTGGGTGTCAAGGTCACCTGAAGGTCTGAAGGTCTTACTACTACAGTGTAGTAAACTGGGGACAACCACACTGTCAGTGGGGACATGAGACACTCAGTGGAGACAACCACACTGTCAGTGGAGACATGGGATACTATCAGTGGGGACAACCGATTGGAGTCGTCCGTCGCCTGGGGCCGGGTACTGTCTGCTTTTTTGGCTCGGCGGGTTTCGGGCGGGGTCGACGCTTTCTGATACTTTGGTTTGGTCATGTGTTCTTTGTTTAACTTAATTGGAGAGGCGCCTTTGATTTAAGCTTTTTGCTTTTGCGCCAATCCTCTATTGTTTTGTTCGTTGTTCTTGTTTACATATGGAAAAAATACAATGAACTGAACTGAACTGAACTGAACCACAGCTGTAGTAGTAAGCTGTCAAAGGCGGTTGACAGTTGACACCTACTACGAATATCCCCTAAGCGGGACCCCCACTGGTTGACCTGACTCCTGACCTGACCCGACCTGGCCTGAATGCATGAAGGCAACAGCTGTGATCAAAACTAACATAATATTCGTGATCAGCACCCCGAAAAAAACCACAGCAGTCACACTTTACGACGGTCTAACAGGCGTCGATTTCCCCCACTTTTGGGTCAATGACCTGACCTCAGAGGTCACCATTTGACCTATGAACTTACAACCAAATACCGTTGGTTTTGTCTAGACTTACACGATGGTTTTTTTCCGCGATGCTTTAGCTCAATTAGGGGCCAAACGCGAGGGTGGTCAATGGTCATACCAATACCCCTTTATGCCGTCGAAGGACGCAAAATGGCCAGTGCCAGCGAGGGTTAAGGCCCAAAGTCATCTAGTTATGCTTGGAGATGATAACTAGAACGACGGCACCGAGCTCTGGGCCGTGATGGACACGGCCCAGAGCCCCCCCCCCCCCCCCACTGACCTGCGCGTGCACCGAGCTGTGCGCCGTTACTGAGACGCTGAACAGCGGCCGGTGGTTGTCCACCCACTTGACGCCAGGAAGGTTGATGTCGGGCGTGATGTACGGGTAATTGGAGGGCGGTGGCTCCAGCAGCACGGGCAAACAGGCCTCTGTGGTATTTAGACGGCCCTCGCGAAGCACCGGCAACCACTGGCGGCACGGTACATTGTCAGTGGGGACACGGCATACTGTCAGTGGCAGGGCTGCGGAGTCGGAGTCGGAGTCGGTCGGAGTCGACAGTTGTGACCGGAGTCGGAGTCGGAGTCGATTTTAGAAACCCGAGCCGGAGTCGGAGTCGGAGTCACCGAAAATCTGTCGACTCCGCAGCCCTGCTAGGTCTGCGGAGTCGGAGTCGGGAGTCGGAGTCGGTCGGAGTCGACAATTCTGCCCGGAGTCGGAGTCGGAGTCGGAGCTGGTTTTTGAAAGCCGGAGTCGGAGTCGGAGTCGGAGTCGCCGAAAATCCATCGACTCCGCAGCCCTGGTCAGTGGGGACAACCACACTGCCAGTGGGAAGTCACGGTACATTGTCAGTGGGGATAACCACACTGTTGAGTGTCAGAGGGGACAACCACACTGGCTGGAGGAATCCAGAGCGTCGTAAGCCTCGTCGTAGCTGCGACGTGTCGCAAGTTGTGTAGTAACTCGTTTTTGGAGGGATCAATCGATGAGTAGCGTTACTTAAGTAATAGAGGCTGTCGCAAGTTGCCTGATTTGCGACACAACTTACGAATTTGAAATAGCAGTCGTAAGTTGTGTCGCAAGTTGACCTTGCTTTGAGGAAGAGATCGCAGGTCATAGGTCATTCGGGTCATGGTCACGAAATTTACATGGTAGGTGTAAAATTGTTGAAACTGTTGAGATTCTGAAAATTTGGTTACAATCCCCTGACGCTAACGCGAGTTATAGAGCTTGAACCAACGGGTCGTCAATGGGGCCTCAATCAACGCCAGCGAGTGTTAATAATGGTGCATAATATGTTACATTCACATTCATTGGGGTATTCAGGAATATGAAGTAGCCTAACACCCATTCTAGCAACTATTGGCGAATCCAGAAAGACGGTCTTGGACAGGCCTAAAGCTGAGAGGGCCTTAGATCAGTCAATGAAATCATATTGCTGAGCGTATAGGAAGGCCTTAAATTAATTATCATTCATTTGTTTTAAACAAAAACAAATGAATAATAATTAATTTAAGGCCTTCCTATACGCTCAGCAACACTTCTCAATTTATATACTTAATGAAATGATATGTTGTATTTGCTTTTGGCCACTTCCTTGCTTTCTGCCTGAATCCGCTAACAAATCGGCCCCTGACCCTTCGACCGCGGGTACGGAAACGGAAACACGGGCATTACACGGAAACAGTCACATTAAGACGGCGACAGTGCTACAGTGACGCGGCAACAGTGCTACAGTGGCACAGAATTAGTGTGGCACAGTGAGACGTTGACAGTACCACCAGTGACAGGGAAACAGTGCCACCACTGTCAGCACGGTACCAGCGTAGCACAGTGAGGCCGTGAGTGGACGCACCGTGTAGCCGATTGGCGTGGACGCGCTGCTGGGCTCCGCCTTGCGCTGCTGACAGCTCACGTGAAAGAAAGTGAACAACAGGTGGTGAGCATCAGTCAGCGTAGCCGGCAGTTTGATCTTGATCTCATCGTAAAAGTCTGGGTTCCTGGGAATGACAGAGACCAGAGTCCAGAGACGAGGAAGCATTTATCCTTGTACAAGATAGTAGCATCACCACTCTCCATTCTTCATGCCTGATATCTTTCCAGAAAGTTAGAAACTTAGGAAATACTGTGCGATTTTTGAGTTAACTAATGCACAGGCACGAGTAAAAATCCACCTTCCCCCTACACACAGAGATTTTTCAAGTTTTGTGTCAAAAATAACACCGCGCAACATCGCCAAATTAGTGAAAACTTCTGGATTTTCATTGAGCACGTACTGAGATCTTGAACAATGAACCTCAAATAATAAAAGGTTACCAGGTTACGTTAAGTGACCTCACCTCATCCGCAAATTTGCGAAGCTTTGCATATTGTGGTAGACTAGTCATTAATATGCTTTGGCCGGTATGCATGATTACGTTACTCGTGTAATTGTCCGCGCTGGAAACAGGTGCATCAAAAGGCATCCAATGGCACCTCCAAAGAGCACACCCGGCTGGAATGGGTCTGTGCGTGCCGAGTATGTAGCGTCTCGCGGTGCCTTTCTTAATTGGCGTGCCGGTGGCTCTCCCAGGACAGGTGCTCTCTTTTCCCGAATGTCACTGGCACGTTCATCGTTTAAATACGCCCTACGTCGCTGCAAAAGGGAACGTGAGGTCTTGCTGGCCAATCAATTGAGTGAGGCTCTTTCCTAACAGCCAGATAATCGTTTCTGGGTTCTTGTCAGGAGGCACCTCGGTGGTGGCAGCCCCGTGGTGTCTGCTGGCGCGCCGGCGGGCCGTGCGGCCTCTCAAAATCACTACTTTTGCAAAACAGCTTGAATAATGAACACCCTTGACTTTTCACGTGGCACGTGCCACGACGGTCACTGAGATGTATCAAAAGTAGTCAATTACGGGGTAGAAGGGATGAGGCTACTCAGCAAAAAAAAAAAAAAAGACCGCAGCCAATCGGTCCAGCGGTCCCTGAGATATAAGCCTCTCAAAAGCGTTACAGGCCGGGCCGGGCCAGGCCGCTCATACTGAGATTTTTCCGTTATATTGAAAAGACTTCGCTTCGCTTGCTGCGCTCGCTCGTAATTAGCCCTATGGCATTGGGCGTCGCATGGAAAGAATGGAACCAAAAGTTGCCAGTGCCCTCCCCCCCCCCCCCCCCCTTAACTGAAGGTGTTCCGCCGCCACTGCTGCTGCCCGCTTCAGTCCCTGTTTCCAAACTGGTCTCTGAAGTAATTGCACTCATTACGCGGTCTGTTAAGTTACCTTACCTATGAAGGTCTACCTCATCTCTATGTAACCTATAAGTAATGTCAAAGCTAAGAGATGATGTTTTTTCGTACTCCAGCGTAGATGGATAGCCATACGGCTTCCACGGTTGACAGTGATGACATCAGTCATCTTTTGCAAGCTCGTTAAAGCTTTGGGCTGTACGGGGATTCGAACCCCGGGCCTTTGGATAAGCGCTCCAATGCTCTACCTCTGAGCTATACAGACCAAGTACTTTAACGAGCTTTCTGCCAAGTTTTATGCGGATCATTCTTAGGTGTTGTTTTTATCCGCTGGGACTGAGAGCGTGAGAAGATGTTTTTTCGTACTCCAGCGTAGATGGGTAGCCATACGGCTTCCACGGTTGGCAAAAGATGACTGATGTCATCACTGTCAACCGTGGAAGCCGTATGGCTACCCATCTACGCTGGAGTACGAAAAAACATCATCTCACGCTCTCAGTCCCAGCGGATAAAAACAACACCTAAGAATAATGTCAAAGCTAGTTAAGTTAATTCTGAATATCCGGGCCCAGAGAACCATCACTTTGTATCTGCAGCATTAACAATAGAAGTGCGAGACTCACTCATCAAACAATAAACGTAACTCTTATGGAAAACTGTTCATATTTCTTTCAGGCACACGACAATGAAAAGACCGATGTGCCAAAAAAATCAACGACCCCAACCCCCACCATTTTACTCTAAAAATCAGTGGCGCAGCCAGGGGAGGGTGTGAAAGGGGTGAGATCTCACCCAGTCTATTATCCTAGGGGCCCACCGTCGATTCAAACTGTAGCGTTATGCAGCCTGACAATTTTTTATCATAATGTCAAGGTCCGTCATAGGACTGAAAAACAGTTTTCAGGCCTGATAGCCCCCCCCCTTAGGATTTATAGTCCCATTATATGATTTAAGAGGGTAGAGCCAAGGCCCGATTGAGCTAATCCAAGGCCTACCTACATAGGAAGGCCCGTTCCATGGCATGAGAGGGCCATTTCAGGTCTGTGAGGGCCCATTCCAGGCCTGAAGGGGCCCATTTGAAGCTTGAGAGGGTCCATTTCAGGCCCTAGAGGGCCCGTTCGAGGCCAGAGAGGGCCCATCTGAGGCCTGAGAGGGGCCCATTTCAGGCATAAGAGGCACCATTTCAGACCTGATATGGCCAAGTTAAGGCATCAGGGGGCCCTTTTTCGACATGATAGGGACCATTTCCGGGCTCATAGGGCCCATTTCAGGTCTGAGAGGGCCCATTTCAGGCCCTAGAGGACCTATTTGAGGCCTGAGAGGGTCCACTTTAGGCCTGAGAGGGGCCCATTTCAGGTCTGAGAGGGCCCAGTTCAGACCTGAGAAGGCTCATCCCAGGAATGAAAGGATCATCCTATGTGTGGGAGGGCCCGTACTCCGTGCCTGGTCTGGGTCTGAGAGGGCCTATCTCAATCCTGATTGAGCCGATATCATGCCTGATATAGGTCAACTCACCACATGTATATTGATGGCCTATAGTCTGTTCCATATCAAGCTTGCAGTCGGAGTTTCTTCGGCAGATCGCTCCTCCGCTCAAGAATTTGTGTCTTAAAATGCAAGAGCTGTATATACAGAAATCACGCACTGCCTTCAGCAGGGCACTTCGGCTGCAAACTTGAAACGGAACAGAGTATAGTCCATGTCTAATGGACCCATCTCAAGACTCAGATATATTATGCTTGAGGAAGCCTACCCCTGAAGTGAGGGGGCCCATAGAGGTTTTTGAGGCTCATGGAGGTCCCGCAGGACGATATGTCAGCCTCCGAGAAAGTCATGCAGGGCCCTTAACCCGCGCCCCGCTGGGCTATTCAGCCATACGCGCCCTGCTGGGGGGGGGGGGCAGATTCTGCCCCCCCGTTCTAACTTCCGAACCGATGGTCGTAGAAAGACGGGGAAAACGGCAATCGAAAGCTCTCAACAAGGCGGATCTTAAGAGCCCACATTTTTTTGCTTAAGTAGGTCAGAGGTCAGGTTAAGGGTACAAAATGCAAGTTTCTACAGTATCGGCCTTGCACCATAGTTGCCGAAGAATGGACTGAGACTAATTGCCCAAAAGGTGTTCTTAGGCTACCAAAACAATATTCGTTGCATACAATATCATTCAAAGGTCAAGGTCAAGGTCAAGGTCAGGTCAGGCCAGATCAGGTCACCAAAAACGAAATATAGAAAAGGGCATGTGCAACACATGTTTTATGGGTCATTTTATTCATAGAATTCAATAGGCACACTCAATAAGTGATATGGACCACATCTGGATGAATTTCAGGTCGAGGTCAGGTCAAGGTCAGGTCAAAAGAGGTTAAATTTTGAAGTTGGTTGTTAAGGCCGAAAAAGGCGTCTATCTGATGCAGTTTTTCACGGCGAATCGAATGGTGCCGTTTAAGTTTCCGTACGAGATCTAGAACTTCCAAAAAATTCATTTTTCAAAAAATTTGTGTGTCGTGACGTCATAAATTTTCTAATAACTCCCACATTTTTTAACCGATTCTTCTAAAAATTGGTATGTAGGTGCACATAGACCACTTCTCTGACATATATTCCGTTCTTTATACACTAAAATTTTGGATTTTATAATTATTTTCCCAAAAGTCAGTTTTTTGAAAAAAGTTTGGGCCAAAATCCAACATTTTCAAAAAACTGAGATAACCATTTGATAGACAAAGTAAAATCACGTATAACCTTTTTTTGTTACGTCTTGATTCCTTTAAAAATGAAGATGTTAGCGGCGCTTGAAATTTTGCCGTTTTTGAGGCGAAAATGGCGAACATGGCGTCACTAAAACGTCATTTTCTAAAAAAAAAAACTTCCGACGGATTTCGCTCAAATTTTCAGGGAACGTGTCAAATTGGTGTATGATAAGGTACTGAAAGTTTGACGTCGCTGGCGTAACGCGTTTAGAAGTTATCGGCGAAAAACGGTAGGGAGGCAGATTCTGCTCCCCCCCCCCCCCCCCAGCGGGGCGCGGGTTAAGACGCCAAGCCGATATCTGAAAGCTCCTCTTCTCTTCAGGCCTGTGCCTGCCTCACCGCCCGGCACCACCTCGACGTCTAGGGGTTTGACGCCTAGGTATTCATCAGGACACCACACCGCGCCGGTCCATGATGGCTCCAAACTGACACCTGAGGCTCCTGCACCGGCTTTTGAGGGGCCCACCGGCCTCTGATAGCCGCCACGAAGGTCTCAAAAGACCATGTCGATTGTCGATATCTAAACCCCCAAGTCTTGGAAGGCCTGTACTCTATGCAGACTCTTGAGGGCTTTACGTGGGCTTGTAAATGCCCCAAACTGGTCCTAGCCCAGCTCGACCGCGCCCCGCGGAGCAGGGCCCCAGGCTTTCCAGTTTTATACCCCTGAGGGGTATTTGAATATTCCCTTCTAACCTGACTCCAGGGTCACGTGGCGACAAGCGCGGCGGTAGGCGGCTTTCTAAAGAGCGTTGAAAATCATGGAGAAATTACTTTAGTCATGTTGCAGTTCAGACCAAAGCCCACGTCGTCATGTTCATCGAAGGAAAAGTTTCGCCTACTTCGACACTCGAGGACATATAAAGCTATAGCCCGCTGAAAGTGGGTTCGATAGCTTTCTAACGCGCGCAATCAGCCAGGGGGCAATCAGCGTATCGGCCAAACCCGATCATCTAACAAAAATATAAGAAGGCTAGAAAGACGAGAAAAAGCAGCCGATAGCTGTAGGATGCTTCAGAATCGTAGAGGTCAGTTTTCGATTAGGTCATCGTTGAGGTCATTGAAGATAAAATAATGATAAAATTATGATAAACACAAAGACAAGATTACGACGAAAAAAAATATTGTTTTTATATTTTTCACAAATAACCGTATAACTCGTGAACCAAAGAGTTAGAGCTTCGTGGAACAACTCATTCGATAGGCCTTTCAAAACGCTTTCGCTTTTAAGCTTTGACCTCAATGACTCATGTCAAGGATTTCGCAACAGAGCAGAGGGCAAAACCATCTAAATAGCAAACGGAGTGTAATCGCCACGCCGATTGTGGATTGCTCTTGATCGTCAATACATACATACTTATGCATACAATAGTCGCATTTTACCAAACTAATTTGGCTAAGAATTTTTGCAAGGACTTTGGTGAGAAAAACTATGAGACATTTACATTTTACTTTGTCATCATTTTCTCGTTAACATGCATCGAATGAGCTACCTATAATTTCACATAAAAGTTCAACTTCAAAATGTGACTGCAGATCAAGGTCATGCCCTTGTTTGAAAAGTTCATGATGGCAATCAACCGATCCGTATTAGAGGTGGCAAAATGTGGACCCGAGGACCCGGTCTAAAGAACCAGTCTGGACTCATATGGGTCCAGACAGGTTCCTAGGAATTTTCTGACGGGTCCAACTGGGTCCTACCATAAACAATACATCTTGCACACTACACATTATTGCAAAATATGAAGTGGATGAAGTGAATGTTTCTTTACACACAGTAGCTCATGAGTATTCCCAGTGGAAAAAAAGGTTGTTTTACATTATGCCATGATACCTACAAGTAAAACAACCTGCGGTTATTTGTATTAATTGACTTTTGGGGAACGGGTCCAAATGGTTCCGATTCCAACTTAGACCGGGTCCAACTGGTTCCAAAATGTCCAGTCGGGTCTGGTTCGAGTCTGGTTCCCAAAATTTTCATCTTTTGCCACCTCTAATCCGTATGAATGACCTTAGCACCTTCAAGACAATGTCATTACTTTACCTCGTCTACTATATCAAAAGTAAGAGTCGAAAAACTGATGTTGAGCTTTTTCAAAAGTTTCTGACCTAGCCCGACCCTTTTGGTGGCCGCTGGCCATCAATTGCACGCTGTCCATCAAATTTGTGCAGAATGGTCGCGTTTCTGTAAATATGCTGTTATTTTTGACGTGCCTCTTCAGATCAAGAGATATTTGTCCTTTTCCCCGATTTGGCTGGTAATGATGAGGACAAATGTTCTCGTGATGGTTTCAGGATCAATAGAAATCTGATAATATGACATAAAATTGCTTTATCCATTTTCAAACGTTTCAACTTTATTCAAAGTCATCTTCAGTGTTAAGATAGACAAGTACACAATTACATGCTGACATAAATATACAAGCAGTCGATGCAGGGTATCAGTCGATGCACATCACACACTTCACAAAAACAAGACATAAAACATCATTCGTGTTGGTTCGGTCGTCTTCCTACAGAACGATACTTAGTTTAAACGCATAAAACGATACTGCGATACTGCGTTTAAAATGTCTGCATTTAAACGATACTGCGTTTAAACTAAGTATCGTTCTGTAGGAAGACGACCGAACCAACACGAATGATGTTTTATGTCTTGTTTTTGTGAAGTGTGTGATGTGCATCGACTGATACCCTGCATCGACTGCTTGTATATTTATGTCAGCATGTAATTGTGTACTTGTCTATCTTAACACTGAAGATGACTTTGAATAAAGTCGAAACGTTTGAAAATGGATAAAGCAATTTTATGTCATATTATCAGATTTCTATTGATGAGGACAAAGATCTGACCTGACCACAGATCAGAGTGTTAACAAGTTTAAAATGAAAAATTCATATTCAATGATTATTCAAATGGTTTTATGATTTTCCAAAAAAAACTCAGCATAACAGCGACCGTTTTCGTTGTTGGTAAGGGGCCCAATTTGGTTGATGGGGGCCCACTTTGCTGGGGGCTAGAGGTCTGCGCCGGCCAGCTGCAGCCCCACGGCTGTGGGCCGGGGCGGCTGCAAATATCTCCAAGAACACGGCTACGGCTATGGCCACGGCTGTGATATTTCAAGCTCAATCTTAAGTACTCAAATATAAAATTTTAAATCCTTAATCTTACATTCTGATAAGCAGTCTAGCCTGTAAAAATCATGCAAAGGATGCCCAGCAACATTGAAAGTGGTCAAGCCTTTGAAAACCTGCAATGGTTTTATCATTTGCCGTAGGGGAGTTTGCACTCTGGTACAGAATACTAATTATAGGTACCCATTGTTCCTTCATTATCATGAGCTTGACAGCTTCAGAAAATACACCATGTTGCATTGTCACATCCCTTTCAAATCAATCTCACCTGGTCATTAGGAGAGCACCTTACAGCTATTGAAGACAAACGTTCAATAATTCTTTCAGGTAATAAAAAAGAAATAACGCCTAAGTAAAGGCAGGTAAAAGCTTCATAAAATATCTAAAATAACTATTAGATGTATTTCTGGATTTTCGGCAAGTCCAATTACATAATATAAAACTGGCGCTTTTATGTTCTAACTGGTGTGTGAGTGAACGCTAACAGAAAATGCTGATCAACAAAGCCAATGGAATTAGAATATAAGGGAGCATAAACCTTACGTACGGTTACTTCACATGACGTTGAAACCCTTGAACACGATATTTCTTACGCGAGCCGTTGACTTTACTAATAAAATGACGTCTTTTTCTAAAAATGTCAAAATTTGATACTGAATCTTTGACAGCAAATTTTCAACTGTATAATCTTATTATAAAACATTTTTAATTTTTAATGGCGCTATTTGTAGAAACACAAAAATAATTGACACTTCTTTGATACTGACGTCATTAAAAACTCAAATAAAATTTTAGATTGAAAGAGGCAATTGTGGCTCGCACATCCTTGGTGATTTCAGCACAGATTGAAGGAAAATGAAAATCACCCCGTGTTCGATGACTCGGACGACGTAGAAACTTCGTCGTCCGAGAGACATCGAACGCGGGGTCAAATTGGAAAAATTAAAATAGATAAATGTTTTTCTTTCTTGGATGCTCACTAGTGTTTTGATGCCTTGCATATCAAATTAGTTTGAGACATGCTGAAAAGGCTGCTTCAAGCCTGGCATATCACACCCCAGAAAATATGCAAGGTAAGAAAGAAGCAAGAGTTTTGACTATCAGGACAATCACTGTTTGACAGTTCATCAACTTCAGTTTCATTTTCCATAACATTGATAATGATAAGTATCTGGGTCTGTTGTTCTGTGATCTGTCCCACAACCATGCTTCAGGATTTGGCATTAGATGTCTACACTGCTTCTATTCTGGTTCGTTGTTTATGTTTTCTGTTCATGTAGGTACCTAGTACCTACCCATCTTTCTTAACCCCTTGCAAGGACTTGTGTGGGCATGCTTCATGAGCTTGAGAATCTATAGCCCATTGCAATGTGCTTTTGGCTATATGTTTTAACTAAAAATAACTTATTATATACAATTTGGTTGCATTTCATTTAAAGTATCCACGGCCGGCTGAGGGCTGGCTGCCCACAGTTTGCCACGGTTGTGGGCGGCTGCGGCTGTGGGGCGGCTAGGCTGTGGAAAATTGCAGCCGTGCAGAACTCTACTGGGGGCCCATCGCGAACATCTCTCACCCCCGTCGCCAGAGTTCTGGCTGCGCCACTGCTAAAAATATACATTTGTCTCAATGTCTCCATGTCATACGCTTTGAGTGGTAGTTGATGGGAGTGTAGGCTTCGCTGACTGACTTTGAGTGGTAGCTGATGGCGGTGTAGGCCTCACTGACTGAGTGGTAGCTGATGGCGGTGTAGACCTCACTGACTTTGAGTGGTAGCTGATGGCGGTGTAGGCCTCACTGACGAGCTCCGGCATCGAGGAGCGGCCAAAGATGACCGGCAGCGCCGACTCCTTGCCCTCGCCGTTCAGAAACTGGACGCGCACAGTGATGTTGCGGGCCGAAATGCCTGTCGAACCAACAAGGCGGCACCCCGGTCAGTCGGCTCGGCGGCCAGCCAGCGCCGCCGGGCGCAATAGGCGCCTGTGATACTGTCACACCATGGATTAGGTATTCCTGGATGGGACACTCCGCCGATTTTCCGACCACGCACGACGGCGAGGGCGTAGGCGCCATTTAGCATTGTGTGCTATGGGCGGATCGTGTCTAATGGTTCCGTATGTGATAGTGATTAAATAAAGCCATAAAAATTATTAGAAAGGGATAAAAATATGATTACATGGTTTGAAATCGTGTCTTACGAGCTAAAGCTCACTAATTTCGCTCTCCATTACCGCGTTTTCGGCACGGACGCGGCGGCCGCAGGTGCACTTCGCGCCGATGTTTCGGCGCTCCGCCACCAGGGCGGCCGCTTGGTCGCCGGCGCTAGCGTTGGGGAATAGGGAGTGTCCTATCCAGGAATACTTCATCCATGTTCACACCTTAGAGCAAGCAACAAGTTCAAATCGACACTAAAAACATTACAAATGTGGGGCATTGAGACGTGCAAAAGAAGCCACGCCACAGCCACACGAGTATGTCTGGCCAGCCACACCTCCGCGCAAACAAAACAAAACAAAAGCCAATAGTGCGACTGCAATGAGCCGCCGAATTACGACCGGGATGCGCTGCGCTTACCAGGCTTGTTGGGATAGTTGACAAAGTTGACCGTCTTGGGCGAGACGAACAAGAGGTTTCTGTACAAGTAGTGCGGCTCGTACACTTCCTCAGGGGGGAACTCGAGCAGTTCTTTGCAGGGCCGCGCCTTGTCATCTGCCGAGGTGCCGGGGAGCGGTCAGCGGGCCGGCCGCGGCCCACAACGGGTCGGAACACTGCCAGCACGTGGCAGCCAGGTACACACAGCAAAGCAAGCCATACCAGGGGCACACGGACGGCAGAAAGGCCGAATTCAGTTAAGAAAACACAAAAAATAACATCACACTAGCGGCAAGTCCACAAAACATGAGTTTGAATGATGACTCAAGTGTCGTAGACATTTGGAGGTCGAAAGAAGCGTGTTGCCAGTGGGCGTGTTGAACGGTTGTGAGGACAGCGGCGAGCGGCGGGGCCCGAGCGCGCACACCACCCACCGGCTCCCAACTACATACACAAGTTGCAATGCAGATCCCCAGCCAGCAATTCGGTTGGGGAAAGTGCGGGGACAGTGTTGGGGAAAGCTTGGGGAGAACGTACAATTCCCCTATCGGATCGGGGAACGGTCCGTGTTCCCCATCCCTTCCCCGACTGTATTGGTAATATGTTCAAAAGACATGGGGAAATTACACCGATCCCCGTACGGGGAAAGAGCAGCATTCCCCAATCAAACCCCACTGTTGGGGTTCGGTCGGGTAAAAGATCAGATTCCCCGAACGGGGAAGGGTGCGTTATCCCCGACCCATTTTCAAGAACAGTTTGATTGGGGAAAAGTAGGGGAACTGTTGAAATTCCCCGCTCGGGATTTTACACTTAATCCCCAGACGAATCCCAACCGCCAGTAGGACGTTTTGAGATCGACTTCCAGCATGTAATTCCACAAGTATTCAATAAAGAAAAATGCATCTTGGGAATGCTAAAAGCAGTCTTAGGAGCAGTTCTAGAGCTATAGGTTCATGCATCGATTGAAGGGAGATTAATAAAAAAATTAGCGATATAACGATTTTATAACGATATAACGATAAAACGATACCTATAACGATATAATTTTTTTATAATCGTTTTCATGACAGGTGATCTGGCGAATGCATCAAACCTGACCAAATTTGCACCAAATTTCTTTTTCATATCTTTATATCATATACCTATTTATTTCAGTGTTTTAATCGAAAATAATGTCTGATATAATTGATCAAATCGGCACCGCATCTGGACCAAATGCCTACCAATTGTGTACCAGTTACCTATCATGAAAACGGTTATTCGCAGACATTTGATTGAGGCATTTGATGTATGTAATTTTCGACCTAAAAGAGAGGTAAAGCCGTCTTGGTTTACGGGGCCTGCTAAGCCGTGAGGATGAGGACACGCACACGTCATTATTTTGAACGAACGTTGGTGCCCTTATTTCATGAGGTAAAAACAACTTTGACAACTTTCAGGATCTTTGTTTCTTCTCGCACTGCTGTGGCATAAACATTACGTTTTCTTTCTTCTGTCATCACTCATCGCATTGAAATTACAAAAGCATCAAAATTTCAACAACACACTGCCTACGACATACATGTGTCGCCTCAACGCAGCGAGGGGAGGGGAGGGAGGGGTAGCAACGACCGGCCGCCGTCGGTTCCGTCCGCACATCTGGTTGAGGGGCGTCTCCTGTCGCCATCTGTCATCGTGAATGGGGCCGTGCCGACGTGTCAGACGGGACGAGCGGGGGAAGTCGGTCCAGAGTCACTGCGCCGCGCGGTTGTGTGAGCAAGCCGTGGGCTAGGTACCGCTCCAGGTCAGACCATGGTTGGCACTGAAGAGTGCGGCGACACTACAGAGCTGTGAACGAAGACGGTGAACGGCGAGATGTGGTGACCGCTTGACTGACCTGTGCTCAAAGTCGTGATCTACCGCTGGCCGCTGGGGTCAGTGCGTGAGAAGCTGGACTCGGCAACAACGGAGGACGCAGCTCGACGAGGAAGCTATGCTGTGTTGGTAAGGAACTAAAGCACTTAATTGTAACGAATCCATGACAGATATAAAATGACGATACTAAATCAAGTTTATTGTAAAAGACAAAGCTTTCGATACACACAATATCTTGATAACTGTCTAGGATATGCAGAATATGACGTAAAAATGACTAAGGTCATCAACCTCCGTCTGAGATTATCCTTAAATTGCCCGGACAATATAATGTCATCAGCCTAATCCTTCATCTGCTTCTGTTCTAGAGGGACGTCTGCCGGTTACGACCGGAAGGTTTCCGACGGGACTTGGCAGAACCCACAACAGCAGTATGAACCCGGCGTGGAGTTAATGCGTAATTGCTCGCATGAGCAACCGAAGAGCGACTTCCAGGCGAAGATGGTAAGCAGTTTATGGGGGTGGGGGCTAGCTTAGAGCTGTTGAACAACCTGTCCTTCACCCAAGTCTAAAGGCTGAGACACACTCTTTCTACAGCCAGAAAATCTCATGCGAGAGCCCATTAATTAAAGGTATTATCAGGGTTTTTTCCGAAATTTCGGAGATACTCAGTGAAACGTGTAGAAGAAGGTGGCTGAGGCCCCAATCCGAAGTCATTCGTCTCAAAATTGCCTAATTTCCAAATGGTGGGCCTCCAAAGTTGATCCGTCTGCCAGCCAGTACCTGGAGGAGGCAGTACCAAGTACTCGGATACATTTCCCTATAAGTCCATAGGCTTAACACTAGCTAGAGACTTCTAGAGATATTTTTTTATGCCAGATAAGGCCGTCGCATACCAGATAAGGCCGCAACGGCCGTTCAACGTTACGTGGGGAAATGGGAGAAATCTAAAGACTTTTTTCTCTGACGTCTCCACTCCAATATCTCTAGCGCAACTGGCAAGCGTTGTTAGCATTGGCTCGTGTCGTCGTAAATAAGATTTGTTTGACGGATATTCCGTAAGTTGAGTGTGTTGTTGTAATTTCTGAGGCTGTATGAGTTGGACGGAATGGCGCCATCCCGCCATGTGCGAAATCTGTGCGAAACAAAGCTGTTCCTATTCATATTCGAATGTTCAAGACTTGTGGGCTTTGTAGCCAGTGCGTGTAGCTTCTAGATATCCTGTGGGTTATCAAAAATCAAAATAATTAAAAAATTATGCTGTGTGCTTTCAAACTAAGCTCATCCCGAGTGTAATTCAAGAATGTCTTAGTTCAAGCAATAAAACTTGAAAGTGATATAGCTCCAGCAATGAAGAAGCTTGGATGGAACGTTGAACCAAAGTTACCTATCATTTGTAATGTTAATGCTAAGTGCTGAACGTTACCAATAATTCGAGACATCCGTTGTAAGATGTATGACGCAGATCAACTTTGATCAAGTGAAGAAAATAGATTTCAGATGAAATAATGTCAATGTTCAAGGCTGAGCGACTGGCAGATTTCGGAGTGAGCACGAGTGGCCTTGAGACATTCTGTTTCTGTAGGTACTCAAAATAAATAAATTATCATGTTGTGTGCTTTGAGGTTAGGTGTTATCAGTGGTGCTTCATGGTTGTGCTTTGTTGTTGGTGTATGGGCATATTTTGAGCACATTGCAGCATGATATTGGTGGTGTGTAAAGCAACCGATCTCCGCAGACTTTGCACTTACTTGCAAAGCCTGCGGACTGACTTTGCAGACTGGCTGACAATGAGCAATGCATTGCTGACTGATATCATTTATTCTGTGTTTGTAGCACAAAGTACAGAAGTGGCACATACATTGTTACATTGAAAACCTGATGTGAATTTGATGTAGAAAATTGGTGGCTGACGTTGAGTCCTTACGTATTGTGAGTAGTGTACAGCTGGTGCATTGAGCACAGACTTGAGACCAGTGACGTTTGTATCAGTAGACTGTGTTTGAGCTATACTACTACCCTTATATGGCCTTGGTTTGAGTGTGGTGACTGAGTAAGCTGGTGTGTATAGCCATGCAATAAGTGTTTTGAAATATATTTTTGGGACAGTATTGAAATGATGTGTTTTGGCCATCTGGCATGGATGATGGAAAGCCACTAACTCAACTTCAGGAACGCTTCTTCATTATGCTCATCTAAGGCACAATCATCTATTTTCTCTTCGCAAGGATTGATTACTAATTCACTGTCAATTATGACCTGGTCCAGAAGGTTTCGCTGGGCCACACGGTTCATACAGATTCATCCACAGTGCTCAGCAGTGCATGTTTTCAAATTTCAACAGACTGTAATTGTTTCTGTACCTATGTACATATGCATCATGCAAGGGTACGTACAACAGATGCGGTATTTGGTAAGCAGTTGGCAGCAAGGTGGTGTTTGTACTTATTGGCAGAACCAGTTGAGCAGGACTAAAACTATCCTAGTTTCTCTCCAATTTACTCAGATCCGTCTCAACACATTGAACATATTGAAAGCGTCCATCCATGAAGATGTCTGCATGTATACTCATTTCCGAGAAGGCACGCTCGTCGCTCATCCATTGCCGAGCAGGCACGTGCGTGCCCATCGCCGGCGCGCATTAGCGCGCGTCCATGGCTGGGGCGCACGCGCGCGGCCATGGCCGGCATGCACGCGCGCGCGCCCATCGTCGGCACGCAAGCGCGCGCGCGTCCATAGCCGGCGCGCGCGCCGCGTCCTTACCCGGCGAGAACGCCGCGTCCGTACCCGGCGCGCACCCGCGCGCGTCCACAGCCGGCACTGACAGACCCTGACCGACGGGCGTGCTGCCGTCGGCGGTCCTGACAGATGGGCGGCGGGCCCGGCTCCCGCAGCTCCGGCAGCGGGCGGCAGCCATGGTCGGCATACACGCGCGCGCCCATCGTCGGTACGCAAGCGCGCGCGCGCGCCCATCGTCGGCACGCAAGCGCGCGCGCGCGCCCATCGTCGGCACGCAAGCGCGCGCGCGTCCATAGCCGGCGCGCACCCCGTACCTGGCGCGCACCCGCGCGCGTCCGTACCCGGCCCGCACCCGCGCGCGTCCACTGCCGGCACTGACAGACCCTGACAGACGGGCGTGCTGCCGTCGGCGGTCCTGACAGATGGGCGGCGGGCCCGGCTCCCGCAGCTCCGGCAGCGGGCGGCAGCTCCGGTGACTGTTCCGGCAGCTCCGGCAGCGAGCGGCGTATCCGGCAGCGCTCAGC